TATTTGTTTTTATTTGAAAATTTTGCTGACAATGAGGCAAAATTTTTGAAGAAAACAAAACTTTCGGCTAAACAATTTGGATCTATGAAAGTAATATTATCGAGCCACTCTATGTCGCTGTACCTATAGCAGAGATGTACATCACAGTTATTTTTCCGCTCATTCCGTTATTTAGTTGCAATTCTACGTAATGTATAAATGTATATTAGCCTGGCTTTCGATGGTTATTGAGCAAATTTTGATTTAACCACAACCATACTTATCGGTAATGTTGAAACTCTTCGAATATCAAATCAATCAATATGTTCATGTGCTTATAATGTGCGTTTTGCATTACACAGAGGCAGCAGTTGTAAAAATTTTATTTGGGAATTTCTAGTCGATTGATCACTTGTTCAACGTGTACACTCATGTTCAAAATCTGTATTATGATTGTGTGAAGCACTGGTAGCAGCTGAATCAGAGTCGAATCTGTAGAGAAATTTTCAAAGGCGGTTGAACGAAGCGAGCAAACACCATCAGACAGTTTAATATCCAGGTGCGGTACGTGGTGGTGGGCAATGGTCGCATGAACCCTTTGAGCCAGCTTGTCCCATCGGTCCTGGTGGCCCTGGGGGTCCGGGTTGTCCTGGTGGTCCATCCATTCCAGGATCTCCGGCTGGTCCTGGAGGTCCAGGCATTGATTTGCCGGGTACTCCAGGTGGTCCATCGGGTCCAGGTGGTCCTGGAGGTCCGGGTGGTCCGGGTGGTCCCATTGGGCCTGGTCCGCCAGGAACAATTTGTCCAGGTGGTCCAGGTGGGCCAGGTGGTCCCATTGAGCCAGCTGGACCAACTGGGCCAGGTGGTCCGGGTGGTCCTGGAGGTCCAGGCATCGTTCCTGCGCCATCAGGTCCTGGCATGCCAGGTGGTCCTGGAGGTCCCTTCGGTCCTGGTGCTCCTGGTGGGCCGGGAGGTCCTGGTGGACAGTCGAAGCAGAAGTCGGCGGCCGTTGGAATTGCATTTGGTGGAGCATCGCGTCCTGGAGCTCCGTCATTTCCGGGTGCGCCATCAGCTCCTTAAATGAATTCAGTTCTGGATGGTCTTATATTTTCATCTCTNCTCCCTATGGACTAAGCTCTTCAAAGACCTTTACCCATCTCAATTCACACTGACAGTTCATCGGCAATATGCTCATAATCAAACTGTGTATGTAATGAAGTTCCACCTATGATTGGGAGTTAGATAAAGTACATCTTTCACTTGCCTGGCATTCCGTCAGGTCCTGGTGGTCCAGGTGGTCCTGGAGGTCCAACACCGCAGCTGCAGCATTCTCCTCCACTGAAGCCGGGTCCTGATAGACCATTGAAGGATGGGGCAGCACGGGCCCGTGCTGGTCGCCTTATTGTTCTACCGGTTACTCGAGTGCGGACGGCACGCTTGGTTCTGCTTGGAATTCCAGCTGCATCTTCTACCTGAAATCAGGCCTAGCATTGAGTAGGTTCTGCGTTAGCGCATTCTCTTATGTGTGAAATTTATGCTGCTTGTCATTTCGAATTGTTTTAGGAGAACACAAGAAGTGCTCGTTACGAGGATCAACGAGCAGGTCTATTGGAGGTGTGACTGGATCGTAAAGTGAAAAGGAGTTGAAAAGGAACGAAATAAAACTAACAGCCGAATATTCGTGCCACAGACCATCGGTTCGATGCTTGCAAAAGTCAACTTCGCCTTGCAATGATGACTGAATATGTTGTGCGTAATTGTAGAGCATTGGCACAGCAATAATTGCTGTGAGCGTTGCAACTGTTGAGATTGCAATGCCGAAGAAGGCGGCTCGGCGAAGGCCATCTGCCTCCTCTTGCTTCATTTTCTCGTAATCAAAACCCATCGCCAACTGTAACTAACAACCTTTTCGTCTCCTATCAAAATTCAGTTTGAAACTGGAAATTCAGCTCCAATTGAAGCAACAATCAAAATTGATCATATGCTTTAGATGAAAGTAATAAACATCTACGACGACAGAGTTTAATCGCTCATACCACAGTCAAATTTTCTATTTCATCATCATTTCGACCAACATTTCTAATCCTAGAGCAACAACTTCTAAGGAGGAGAATTTTCACAATGAACCATCTTCTGGAGGGCAGAATTCTATCCTCCTGCCAATCCGAAGAATGGTTCGAAGTGGAATCTCCCCAATCGTTCTGATTCGTTGGAGAGGAATCCTGACATTAGGAGAGTGTTTTTCTAATATTATACGGCAAATGTCAGCAGGAGTTAGCATTAGTTCGTACATAATCTCAGTGATAGTGTACAGTGAAACTATGAGACTAAAACTGCGATTTGAAGTGGCCGATTAAATAAAGCAGTTAGAACGCTATGTTCAGGACGGAAAAGTAGAAGATTCAACAGTAGTATG